ATAACAAGAAATGATAAAATTATAATAAGGACCAAGAATTATGTTTTTTCAAGAATAATTGTTTTAGCTTTGTAGATCATGTTGCCTTGGTTGTATGTAAAGCTGGTAATTCAAGCCAAACCCTGAAAAATGTTAGGGCCAAGCTTAGTTATATGAGATTTTTTAAGAAGGTAGAATACTTCAAGCCTAATTCAATAGCTTGGTTCGAATAAGTTCAACCCATCCAAATTACCTACTTCATTTATATGTTTAGAGGCCGATAATATTAAATCAAAGAAGGAAGAATTCTTCAGGCATATATATGCTAACATGCTAATCTCTCCTCTAGTCATTATTAAACACTACCACAAAAAAATACTCATACTCAACACTTATTTTTCACAATACTTGACAGTTTTTAACTGTCAAGTAAGGTGTGATTATATATAAAGAAACCTTACTTGATGGTTATTTAAAAAAAATTATCAAATATATGAACTAAATATGCATTCCCCTGAATAAATACTGACAGTTATATGGAAACAAGCGTCAAGTATTTATGGCCAAAACCAACCTTTATGGCATTTTTTTTTCAATAGGGGGCTGCTTCAGCCCCCCTACATAAAGATACAAATACATACAGATAACAAATAGCCCAGCCAGCAACCACAAATAATGCAATATAATGAATGTTTCTAATAATATTTACTATCAATTAACATTAAAATTCCTATACATTTAGCCTTAAAATCTAAAAAATCTATACTCAACTTATTTGTAAACTAAAATTCCAAAACTAAGTGGCTTATCCCCATAAAAATGGGCCCAAAAAATGTGTATATATATGTAACTAATTATTATACCACCGCCTAACTACTGTCACTATCCACATATTGAAAACACATTGGGCCACCTCTTCAAAGACTTCTTCTACATGTGCAGCCATATAACGAATGCAATAGACGTCCTCGAAGTACTATAAGCAAATAGTCACAACAATTTCAAGTTAATAAGTAGCTAATGAAAATTGGTTAAAATTTTATAATTGAAGTATAATTAAATTTAATATATATACCTTGTCAGATAATGTCATAAAGGCATGGGTGATAATATCCTTCATGAACTTTATCAAGTAATAACCACAATCATTATTTTGATCTGGCTAGAATGGACACTATAAAAAAAACATATATCAATGAAATGTAAAATATGAGATAGTTTGTTGATTAAAACTTAACCAATTAAATGAATACCTTAACAGTGACTCATTTCTCTGAAGATTTGAATGCCCTCATCTTAGGAGACACAGTCTTATTGGTTGTAGTGCGATACAACACCATA